TTTGGAATAAACGTGGGGAAGCTAACGGAGTGTCTGCTTTAGCTGTATTTTTCACACTCCCGAACCGCCATAGCCAGGTTCCATTTTTTTTTTTGTTATTTTCTTTGTAATCTTTTTTTTTTGATAGTGTTCCTTGATTTTTTATTTTTTAAATTTCTTTTTTATATTTTTTTTTTTTTTTGAAACTTTGTATCGTAAGATTCACATAGGTTTGATTTTTAGTTGTTTTTTACTTGTTGCCCCATTTTAATATTCTTTTGCAGTGCATTGTTCACATACAGGTCTTTTTTGCTTTTTTTTTTTTCTTTATTTTTTTTTCTTTCGGTTTCAAATATTCCCTCCCAGTCTAAGTTTGGCTGTTAGCTACTCTAGTTTAAAATTGAGCGGTTTTAATTTTCACATATGTACTTGCTGTTTACATGCTAGCAAATTAAATCAGGTTATGTGTCATATGCCTTCCAGATGTTTTTTTTTTATTGTTTAAACATTCATAATAAGTCTTGCATATGGTTGGAGATTACCTAGGTCCTAGCAGAGCATCATTTCTAGTTGGGGGGCCTTCTATGAATTGTAATATAAAATTGTCCCTGTAGTAGGTTAATCAGTTTTTGCCCCTATTTTAAATTGTTCCTGCTGTGCCAATTACTCCAGTCAATTTCAGGTATTTGATTAAAATCCCCCCATTATTATCACTGTCCAAAGCCCTTTTCGATGATGTGCAGAGTGTTTGGAGTAGTGTCTTTTGTATCTCGTCATTATAACACTGGAGGCCTTTAAAACAAACTCAATCCAATGATTACCTTTGTAGTATATGCTACCCCCATGTGCTTGCCACCCATAATGCGTCAGCCTTTCAGTCACTTTGTCTCTCGGGATCAACATTAGGTCCTCTTTCATGCATTTTGCTTGAGATCCAGTCTTCTCACATAGAGACCAGACACCAAACACCTTTCCTTTTTACCGTCTCAAAAAAAAAAAAAGAGAACATAGCCTAGGAGTTTAATGGCCCAGTAATGTGAAGAATGAAGCCAAGATTCAGAAATACCTATTAAATCATAATTCTCTTTCATGCACCAAAGCTTCAAACTCACCTATTTTATAGGTTACACTGCAATGAAAAAGTCAGCCCAGTGCTCTAGAAACCCAAATCCGTCCCTTTTACACAAGGTCTATAGCCATGCATTTAGTTCTCTAATCTCCCCGTATTTCCAGAGTTGCGCATGGCACAGGTAATATTTTAAAGAATATCACCTTGGAGGTTCTTCCCTTCAACTTGCAGCCTAGTTCTTTAAATTGATTCTTAAGAAGCCTCCACCTTCCATGTATTCTGTCATTGGTTCCAACATGGACCAAGACGGCTGGGTCATGCTCAGCCCCTCCCAGTAATTTATCAAACTGGTCCACCACATGCCGAACCCTGCCACCAAGGAGACAGCAAACCATTTGGTTGAGGTGATCCTGGCGACAAATTATTTTATCAGTCCTTCTGATGATAGAATCCCTTACTACCACCAGCTATCTAGGCCCTCATGCACTACCCTCACCACCCCTCCCAGATGTTAGGGATAGCAGTGACATCCAGGATTGCCACCCCTGAGCTTTTTAATAATGGATGCAGTCATAATACCTGCAGGTACTGTAGAAAAGCAAAAAAGAGAACCCAGGTTGTGTCTTTCACTATTGGTAAATATTTTCCAATTTAAACAGTATATTAATTGCAATACCAAAACAGTGGTGTATGTTATTGAGAGCAATAGTTGCAGGATCCAGTATCTGGGTTGCACCACAATTTCCCCCCCCCCCCCATAGAATTAGAATTTCAGAGCACTACAATGACACTAATAACCAAAATGCCAAGAATATTGCCAATATCTCTAAACATTTTAGGGATATTCAAGGTGGTAACCTTCACAGTTTCTTTTCTTGACACCGAACAGATTAAAAAAAAAAAAAAAAAAAAAAATTCCTCTGAGAGGTGGAGATCTACATCGCTTGCTGCTGCAGAGGAAAGTGTGGTAGATCCACATTCTCAATACAAGAGCACCACTGGGTTTAAATAGATGGGACTTAGAAATTTAAAGCTGCAACAACTGGGAAAACAATAGGATATATAGGATATATAGGCTCAATACAATACTTTTTGTAGTCCCACCCCACCTTTTGCTGTTTGTAGTCCCACCTCCATGACATATCTTGGGCTTAAAGAGTACATAAGCACTTTTTTAAATATAACATGCTGAGGAAGACAGTATAGCTGAAACTCGTATTCCTGTCATGTAGTCAATTAAGAGTAACCAGAAGAGAGGACCGGGTTGCCAGATTCTTTTTTCTTTGGATTCATTATATGGGGAACGTCCCAGGGTGGGCACTGGTCTTCACCATGCATTATAACGTATAGTGGTTGAGCTTGGGTAATTGTTTTTATTTATTTTTATTTTTTTAAAATGTCTGTGTTTGTGGTTCCAGTAGGTGGGTGGAGACTATTATGTGACCGCCCTAAAAGAGGACTTGGAAATACACCTGTTGTCTGGAACTGCTCTTGAAAATAGCAGTGCACTTCCTTGTGTGATTGTGCCTACAGTCTCAGAGCTGTATATCTGCAGTGAAAGATCAAAAGTGATTTTAAGCAAGATCTGATGATGCCATTAGTGTGTTGCTTACTGTTCTCCCTGCTGAAGGCTTGAACATGAGGAGCAATACCATGGCTCTAGCCAAGATGGCTCTCTCCACATAGAGACAAGGCAGAACTAATGACTACTGTAGGCAGTACTGGGACTAGTCCTTTGTTTACTTTTAGGCAAAACTTCAGGAGCCCAATTCTCTCAAGCCAAAAAGGTATAAAATACCTGCTAAAATCTAAAATGTCATTGTAAATATGTTCATTCACAATATTTGTTGAATTGCATTTTATTATTAACGTGCTCTTCCATGTGGCAACAGCTTTATTCAGTGTAGTTTCCTATGTTGCTTTCTGCAGCACTGTTACACAGATCACCCACCAAGTTTTGCTAAAGGAGAATGCAAACACTTGCCCATTCATACATTTACAGTAACCTCATATACCTCTACCTGAAACATTAAACAGACAAACATTTATTAAAGTCCTTAAAAGAAACACAAAACAGGTTTAAAAAATCCCCTTATAGCTACAGTGCAATGCAATACTCTAAATTAAATATACCTTTAAAACAAAATACAAAAAAAGTGATCTTTGTACATTGCAGATACGTGGGAATTTTCCTGAGGGGGTGATCCATCCATATAGAAGAGTAGGAAAGAGGAGGAATTTCATGAGTCCTAGGTTTACCTCCAAAAGCAAGTGAAGCATCTTATGAGGCATATCCATGTGGCAATTGATTTTCAGTGTCTGGAAGTTCAAATTGAAGACTCAGAGTAAAACAAAAAGGCACTGGGAGCAGTAGGGAAACCTCTTCATCACACCATTTTTGGGTATCCCAGTCTCATCAGTGCATCAGGAGTTATCACATCTGGCAATCAAAGGCTCACAAATGATCAGAAAAGCTGCAGTACAGACTACATGATGCTAGATCATCAGTATTCCCTCATCATATGGAGAAAGAAAAGATAAGCCATCATGGCTGGTTCTAAGCATATGGTTAGAAATGTGATGGAGAAACCAGACTGGCTGATCTCTATATGAGATCAAAGTCATTCATAGAATTCTGGCAAGTTAAAATTAGGAGCGGTTGGCAGTTGGTCATGTCATTATATTAGCCTTATTAGTGCATTTTTATGCATGCCCATTTTTTTATTTTATGACACAAAAGGGGGAAAAAAAAACAGACGTCTGAATGAACAAAAGCAAACTTTCCCCTCAAAAAAGCCAAACAAACAAAAAAAACCTACACGATAGAACCAGCTCTGACAGCATACAATGATTAAATATATAAAAGATAATGAATTCACAGTTTCTGCAGCCAAACTCAGTGTATGCTATAAAACGGGTACAACTGTTACCCTCCACAGTATTTGGAAAACAAATCAAAGCACTGTTTTGTAGGAAAAGTACTGTCTGCAATACCAAGCTAAATTAACAGATGCGAGGATTTAGATGGTTCCTATGAAAAGTAAAAAACATTGCAAGAAGATCTACAGTAAGAATTCAAGCATAGAGAGGTATTCCCATATTCATTAGTCCATTTATCAATCTCTTTTCACCTGAAAGCAGCAATACTAAATACTCATCCTCAGTTTATCATCTGTGATCTGCTGTTTACATAAAGCTAAGCAGGGAGACAAGGCTTCATCATCCTAAAACCTGAGCCCAAGCCTCGCTCTGAGGTGAACGTGCAGCAGAGCAAGAGAATGTACACATCTTATAAAAAGGTATATTTAGTTTAAAGCCAGTAGTGCAACACAGACTCTGTGAGGCATTTACCCATGCAGGAAGCGGCCTGTCTACTGTGGAATGCTTTCAAATTGTCTATAATTAATTTCTAAGAAGAGGAGGGGAAAAAAAAATGTAGAAAAGTATTAAAAAAAAAATCAAAAAAACCTTTTAAGTCTGTTGGGGCCAGGGTGTTCGTAAAATATAAAGTAGTCAAGTTTCTGTTCCCTCCTGTCCCAAGTAACAGGTGGGGGTAAAAGAGGGAGCTGAGATGCAACCCCCAACCATGGCTATAAAGGAGGAGGAAGGAACTTTGCTGAATTCAAGCAATAAGGGAGTGCAGTAACTGATGCATTTAATACAAATGAACATAAAGGGATGGTCCCTGGCAGTCCCTAAATCGAGCCTCAGACATGCCCCTTCTTTTAGGGTTCTCGGCTCTACGGGATCAGCATTATTGCACCTTGTCTCAGGAACCATTTGTGGGGCGGCCTTCCATTACAGCCGATGACATTCGTTTTTCCGGTGTTTGTTTTCCCTCGAGTTTAACACCAAGTAGAAACTACCTCCTTCCCCAATGCCCTGAAGTCACTGACACAGCGACACTGTAGATGCCATTCTCACAATTTCCTCCCCAAAGGATTATGGGATTTCACTTGTGGTGTCTCTGAGAGTGGTTCTTTCTTTTCCTTTTAAAGAAACAGCAGCACCTATTAAGAAAGGAGACAGTATCTGTCAGTGACTGAAATAGGTCTTAAATAAATACAGACAAAGATTTAATGTGCTACAGTTACTAATTTGGAGCAGCCTCCATCCACAACAATGAAGGTGGAAATATTATCCTTGCTCCCATGATGCAGACTGGTGGGACAAACTTTATTTGAACACTCTGCAATTAAGCTGTAACAACAGCACTGTCAAGCAGATCTGAAGTGTGTGTATATTTTTTTTATTCTTAGCCTTGAAAATTCACTGAAAGACAAATTATTTTGAAGATTATATATTTCTCAAATGCAAAGCACACACCAAAAGAATACCCAGAAAAGTAGTCTACCTCCACCCTTGAAGGTTTAAAAATAATATATAAAACTTTTTTTAAAATAAAAAATCCTAAATCCCAAAACACACCCCACTCGTATAAGCAAATATTCAATAAACAAATGTTCAATAAACAAATGTTCAATAAAGTCTCTTTTTTTCTTCTTTTCCACGAAAAAATTCTTTTTCTCAACACCCGTACATTCTGATGCCCATATACCTCAAAAAGAAAAAACTTTACATAGTGTCATACCTTTTTAATAATCAAAACACACGTGCCCTTAACAGTGCACCATGCATTACTTGTGAAACACTCCAAAAACAAAAAAAATATTAACTCTCTATGTGAATATCAGCATATATATATTATTATAGGTCTCTGTGTCACCACATCTATGACCAGTGAAACATATACATATCACATCCACTATGTGAATCTGTGACACTTATAGCACTGCAACTTAGTGACACAGCACTAAATATATATGTGATCAAACACACATCCCCAACCAAAACCGTGATCTCCAACTCCTTGTGTAAGATGGATAATTACCCTATATAACCAAAAACAGGGCTTGATATAAATCTCCTTAGCTGTAGGAATCCATCCAATATTAGATCCAATAAAGTGTTTTATCTTCCATTCTCCATCTGTCCAAATATAAATTTCATAATTCCATATACACTTCCCTCAATAGAAATAGGATTAATATAATTTTCCTTCTCCAATAATGGAAAGGAAAATTCCTGCCATTCGTTTGTTAACAGCTCTGCCGGGATGAATAAAGAGTCAAAGAAGGGCTGAAATACTGTCTGCAGGCTCAGGTACTTGGTCATATGATGTCTGCTAAAGGGAAGGATCGCAGTTTAGATCCTCAGTTTTCTCCAACAGAGGCTGTGATCATGTACTCAGGCCTTCTCACACGTGGTCAGTACTGAAAGGAACCTGGAGCAGAATTTTCACCTTCTGTTAATCCTTTGCATCAACATTTTAGAAGTCCGTGTCGAAAGTATGATGAGATTGCCAAGTGACAAGAGCAACTCAGTGAAGTCCTATAATAATATATATATGCTGATATTCACATAGAGAGTTAATATTTTTTTTTTTTTTTTTGTTTTGGAGTGTTTCACAAGTAATGCATAGTGCACTGTTAAGGGCACGTGTGTTTTGATTATTAAAAAGGTATGACACTATGTAAAGTTTTTTCTTTTTGAGGTATATGGGCATAAGAATGTACGGGTGTTGAGAAAAAGAATTTTTTCGTGGAAAAGAAGAAAAAAAGAGACTTTATTGAACATTTGTTTATTGAATATTTGCTTATACGAGTGGGGTGTGTTTTGGGATTTAGGATTTTTTATTTTAAGAAAAGTTTTATATATTATTTTGAAGATTAGCACAATTTTTAAATGTCAAGCTGTTTCAAATAGTGGTAGGCTAGGAGGTTCAGTTGTAGGGAGATTCCCACAAATCAGCAGCATAAGGAGTCAGTTTCTGTCTAAATAAAAAAAAACCAACTAATCCTCTGCATAGCTAAAATACCTACAATGCTATTTTACAAAAGAATCAAGCAGGTATTTAATAGAGACATTATAAACAGAAACCACTTTTCTGCCATTGTGTGTGTTTATAGGACAACCTGACTATATCACAAGACAACACAAGTAGGAACCAAATGAATCATGAAGGTTAGGGACACTGGAAAAAATGAGGAGGGGCAAGAAAAAGACCAGCATGTTGCATGCAGACAGTACATGGACAGAAGGTGGAAAAGAGTGAACAACAAATTAGCCAGACATAGTGGGATTTTGGTGAAAGCATATGACCCCAGGAGTTATGTGGTCTTCAACCAATGCTGACATAAAATTAAAACCTAGTCTACCTTAGATAAACAACCGAGACTAGTCTACTCTGAATGTCATTTACATACTGGGCTTTTCCTCGCACATAAAAGGTTCAATTTAGACTTGTAGAGCAATGACTTGAGTTGAAGGGCATCATTTATTCCATGTACAATGGATTAAGAACTGCCTGACACTTTATTGACTGTAAAGCCGTATGGTGGCAGCCTAAAAAGAACAATGCAAGCAAAAAATGTATACACAATCCTCTAAAATTATTCTCCTGAAAGCCACAGAAGTGCTTAAATATGAACTTCAGATACAAAGAGGAGTGCATTTTAGCACCCAAATCTTGGTGTTGCAAGTTCAGTGTGGAACTGGTAGCTTTTGCAAAGTATTCTTCAGGTGCCTAATGAAGTAAATATAGTCTTTATTAGGTTAGGGTTTACAGAGTATTCTAATGTTAAGTGACAAGGTAACATTTAATAATAGAATACTCCCATGGGTTAATTGCAAATGATCATTTAAGGTTTAAGTTAAGAGTTCACTTTATGGATTTGGTAAAGATTAAGCTGGACTTAAGCCCCATTCACTTCTGCACAATTCAGGCCCCTTTTACACAGATATCTGATCAGGTTCACCAGTCAGTTTCAGGCGGACTGGATCAGAAGGTCCATACATTCATACGTACAAGAGGGTGTAAATGGACTTTTGTCTGTTTAGACCCTCCTACTTACAGGCCCATTAAAAAAACAAAAAACAGTTGATATGTCCTCTACCATTTAGGCGGGTCAGATCAGAGGGTAGTCAGGTGTAAACTGACAGCAGGGTCTGTTTACTCCCGGCTGTCAAAGCAGAGGATAAATCATCTACCCACTCTGCTCCAATAAACAGATTTCTGAGTGCATCCCCTGCTGAACGGAACAAAATCTGGTCTATGTGAAGGAGGCCTAAACCACTAAATCGTGCTATCAGCCCTATTTTTGTGTTCTATCCTGCTTGATTACAGAATGTCCCTGATCCATATCCCTTTTCTTTGGGTGCAAAACAGTGCAGCTTCCATAAGTCTGAAGAGCCTGCACACACACTATGTGCAGGGAAAGGGGGATTGATATATGTAGTCCTGGGACATGTGCCTGACAATAATAGGAACAAATCAAGGACACCCTGCTGGTCCCTTCTTCCCAGCACCTGCTTTTACAAGTCTGATTATTCAGAAAAGTAAGAGAAAATTTAATGTAATAAACGTCCACTTTAATAATTTCTTGCTACAGGAATAAAGTTCTGCTGTATCACTTCCACTTCAGGCTTGCCCTTTTTGCAGTTGTAGCTGTGTAAAACATTACAAATTAGTGTCTATATGGTTTAAATCTAGTAATGCACTGGATCATCCTGCTCTGCACAAGCTCAGTTGCTCTATTTTTTGGCACTGCTGAAAATGCAGAGGCCGATCTGCTGACAGACTAAAGATTTACTGCTGCTCAAGAGCTCTAGGCTTCAGCAAGAAGAAACAGGAGCAATGCTGAAGGCAAATTTGGTAGCTAATTATTAATGTGGAATGTATGTCCTTGCTAAAGAACAATATTCTTTTTTTATCAAGGTGTTATAGGTGAAGTTCTGCTTTATTGTTGGGATATGGAGGAGGGAAAGGGAGGATTGCAGATAAGTCTAGGTCTTACCTATACAAATCCTTTAGGTATCAGGGTTTGGGGAAGAGCACGGTCAAATGTTTGGGTCACATTAAGGATAAAACACGAAAAACCCAATGTAATGCTACACCAAGCTGGACAGGTTTCTGTCCCTTAGTTCAATAAATGTTTAATACAAGGCTATAGAGTGCAAGGGCTTTGAACCAGAATAAATCTGTACACCAAGCCCCCCCCCCCTAGTTTGAGGGCCAACCTGTACACTAAATTCTGCAGTATACAGATGTTAGCAAGAGGACGGCTCATACAATATTTCAGTTCAGCCAGTTTATGCTTTGATAAGATACATTAGGTCCTGGGAAATGCATTACAGAATAGGCCAGTGCATGAGGAGGAGACGATCTAAACAAAAAAAAAAAAGGAATGGTCTTACCTGTAAAATCTTTTTCTTGGAATATATTACAGGTCACACATGAAGTGTTCTGGAACCATGGATTATGCAGCTGCCTTCAGAATACTGGCACATAAAGCTGTAAGGGCAGCCTTGTATAACCCTCCACCCCCCTTAAGCAAGCCTAAAGTGATAGTAGACAGGCACAGCTCTGCATTGCGAGAGGACTCAAATATTTGGGGGGGGGGGGAGGAGCAGCAGAGTAGAATTTTTTTTACTTAAATGCTTGTAATGCACTAAAGTGGAACTTTGTTCAGATAATTAAAGCGGCTGTAAATGTTCAAGGTTTGTACCTTCATGGATTCTATGCATGAAGGTTAAAAAAAAACAAACAAAAAAAACCTGTGTGCAGCCCCCCACCCCCAGCAACCCTCACAATACTTACATTAGCCCCATTGCAATCCAGCAATATGCACGAGATCCTCTGCTCTCTGGGGACTCTCCCTCCCCATTGGCTGAGATAGTAGCGGCAACCATTGGTTCCCACTGCTGTCAATCACAGGCATTAAGCCAATAAGGAGAGAGGGGGTGAGGACGAGCAGCAGCTGTGTGTGTGAATGGACATGCAGAGCAGCGGCTCAGGAGGGGGCCTGCTTGGGTGCCCCCATAGTAACCTGCTTGCTGAGGGGGCACTTGGCAGGAGGAAGGAGCCAGAAGCACCAGCAGAGGTGCAGAGGCTGCTCTGTGTGAAACCACTTCTTAGAGCAGGTAAATGACATATTTTTTTTTAAATAAC